CCCAGGGTTGGGTACTCAGGTGTTTATATGGCTCTGCTATCAGTATCAAGTCCAGCTCTAATTCTCGCACGGATTGCATGAGCAGGTCATGCGCTGCCTCACAATGATTGAGATTGAGCTGCAGTATCCTCATGCTTGTTTGTTCGTCAACTTCTGGAGTGCATTCTGAAATACCGGGCACTTATGGGTACCGGCATGGTGGGCAACATTCTCTACACTTTCAATCTCAGCGCATAATGCACATTTGGCTGGATTTTCGTAATCAGCAATCTTGTGCCCTTCTTGTCCGCACCTGTGTGTGTGTGTGTGTGTGTGTGTGTGTGTGTGTGTATGTGTGTATTGAACCGATTTCATCGCGGTTGGTTCCATTCGAAAGGGCTTCACTAAACTTAGATTTCCTGAAAATTTAAACCGATTCGGACCGATAGATTTTGAGAAATTTAGAGAAACCTCCAAAAAAATAGGAAAAAAATTTTTTCCAGAAGTGGTTTTATTGGAATAACTTTCAAACGGCTCTACCGATCGATTTCAAAAACTAATCAGCTCTCAACCTTAAAAAACCACGTCGATTGCCGCCAATCCGGTCAAAATCGGTTGATTCGTTCAAGAGATATCGTGAACGAAAAAAAAACCAAAAAAAAACCAAAAAAAGTGTTTTTTCGGAATTACTCCGAAATTTATAGTTTAACCAATTGAAACTTAAGAATTTTTTATGAGGCTTAAAAAACTGCGTAGAATACCGCCAACCGCGTGAAAATCGGTTCATTCATTCAAAAGTTATTGCGATTTGAAAATAAAAAAAATAGTGTTTTATCAAACTTTTGAGCTCGAAGAGCTCGGAGAGCTCAAAATAATATACAAATTGTACTTATGAGCTCGAAGAGCTCTAAAACGTCATAAGTGCAATTTCAAGCGTTTAGGTATAGAATTGGCGGGAAGTTGCAGGGATGGCCTTCAGGGTCAACCGTATTCCTAATTTTTTTTTTCAAAAATTAATAGCCAATCCTTGTAGAGAATTTATTCAAGTTTTTGAAACCAACCTTGAATTTTCTGTGCGATCATTGGTTGCTGAGATATTGGTTATCAAAGACAAAATGATCTTTTTCCATTCAAACACCGATATATCAGCAAGAAATGTTCGTATCGAGATTTAAAAAAAAACCAAATTAAAGCTGAATAAACAAGTTATCAGGTCCATATGATGGTTAAGTCGAACAAATTTTTTCCAAGCCCGTAGATTAAAAAAAAAACCAAAAAAATTTCGAAATTTATTTTTTCGGTGGTTTTCTTCAGATTACTCGAAAAAAAATTTTCAAACTCAGACCCGAAAACTAGACACTTAGAGCTACAATTTGCTTTTTTTTTATTTGCTGTACGATCATTTTTCTAGAAGTTACAGCCTGTTAAAAATCCCCCAAAAATTTGGATTTATTTCTTGCTCCCTTAATTTTTGTGAGAAATGTACTTGAACTAAAATATAAATATTGTAGTAAGGTAAAAGCCCTAGTAGCTGCTCATGTACCAGTACATGCTCACTCCATGTATTTGTATATCTATATTCACAAATATATAACATAATTTTTTACTACAGGCTTAATCATTTTGTTTATTAAAACTAGTAATTCTATCCATATTTTTTCAAATTTATATTATAGACCATTTTAATCATTTTTAGGAATTTTATTGGAAACAAAATCTAGTTTTGTACGGCAAAATTTGTAAGTCTTTTAATTCATGTAATTAATATTATTTTTGAAAAAATATTAATTAAAAATATACTATCAATAGGTTAAGCAATTAATAATGAACTATTTTATAAGATACATATATTTTAAATAAGTAATTAAAATATTTTATAGTTATATCAATTGTAAATTATTGATACTTTGCAACTCCACAATTAGTTGATTCAGAAAAATTTGAAATAATATTGAATTAAATTCATATGATAATGAATAATTTTATATTTATACGGTATAGCTAAATTTTTACTATAATATAACTTTTTTGATTGTTTTCAACATTTTTCTTCGATCATCTTTGCATTTTTTTTTCTTTAAAATTTTTTTCTCATGCCAAAGAAGTATAACTTCTGACTCGTGTACATAAGTACATACACCATTTTTTTCTTTAAAACTTATCTTATGGTTGATAAGATTGCGTCGTTAATTTGATCTATCAAACATTTACCGAATGATGATTTTATTAAGATTATAAGAATTTCAATTTCTGCCAGTTTTTGGTGGACGGGTTATATTAGCCCGTGTAATAGAACTAACGGTGGTTTCATTAAAAATTAATTGTTATTTTTCACTGATAATTTAAGAATTTATTGTTTGATATAATTTTTTTAATTATTAATTATATCGAAATCTACCTTCCAATTAAATTATTCTATCAATAACTTTATTTTTGCCATGAGTCTCGTAGTTTATAAATGTAACTAATATTTCATAGTAACAAAAATAAGCTCTATATAATTAAACAAAAGAATTAAAAAGTTTTTAAAGTATTGGACTATTAATATTTCAAATTTTTTCAAATTCTATCTCTTATGAAAGTTCAGTACATGAAAAATCATTTCAATCCTTTTGTTTTTCTAGGGAGTAAACAACGTCTTATATTGCATTTGAATATAAATGCTACACTGTTAGCTGATGCGAGCTATGGGCGCCGCCATATTGGCCTTGGCTGCTCTAACGAGCGCCTTTCACTTTGTCCCTACTCCGCGGCCGACCGTCACACGACATGCAACACACAGACGAAAAAGTTTGAGACGATGTAATAAGTTTCACTTTAAAAATTGACATTGATAAAATTTAATGGTTTTGTATGAAATCTTATACAAATACACAGAAAGAATGGTTCACTTGAACCAAGAAAATATTTTTCTTGCTGATTATTTTCTTGGGCGAAAATTTTTTTTTGACACAAGAAATTTCACTTATTCCCACAAAAGTAATTCTCTTGCTTCAAGAAATACGTATCTTGATCCAAGACTATTTATTTAAATCAAGAAAATTTTTCTCTTTCTTCAAAAAATTAAATATCTCGATAATAAATTTTCATTAATATTTTTATTGACGAACATGTCAAATGGGAAGATCAAATAATATTGAACCATTTTCTTTTATTCAATATGTATAATTGCGCGCTAAAATAATCTAAAATAGGTATCAAATATTCAAGAGAAAAATTTTCTCAAGGTGAGAAAATTTTTTTCTCAGCTGAAGTAGGTGGCGCTGCTTCCCTAAAGTATCTAAAAATCTTGATCGAATATAAAAATTTATTGTATCAAGTATCCTTTAAATTAAAATACATGATAGTCTTGAAGTTAGTCAAAGGTCGAAACTCGCAAAAAAACAGGCCACGATTCCTTACTGGTCGAAAATAAGGCGCGCGCGTAGCGCGCTATTTAAATTTCTAGTTTATGATAATTTGAATTAAGAAAAATTACTTCCACCAATAATAGAATTTCAAGAAAAATTTTTACTTCGGCCAAGACATCTTTGGTCTTCCTTCGGGCACCCGAAAATTTACTTGTGCCAAGAATTTTATTCTCCAGTCAAGAAATCTTTTTTTCTGTGTAAGACAAATCTTTACAATTTTATTGAATTTTATTCAGTTTTATGGAGTATAAACAAATTAAGCAAATTTAATCTTCGTTCTTCAAATTTAGATATATCCATTGAATGATTAGTATCAGTAGATACTCGTGATAGACCAGTAAGCAGTGTACAAGACTTACAGTCGAGAGAGCCAGTGTTCGATTCCAGCATGTGTCCATCATTTTTCATTTTCGTTTAAATACGTACGTTGTGACTCAAACCATATGGTTTTATCGATAAAGACATTACCAGAAAATGCCTTATTAGAATATTAGTATTTAAAAATATTTTTTTTGGATTATATTTGTTGAAATTTTATAAAATTTCTCGAAAACATTTTTGCCCTGGTAGTATATAGCGTATATGCAGCGGGGATACCAACGCATTCACCCGTGGAGACACTGAAGATACACTATGGATACACCGAGAATACACCGTGTGTGCGAATGCAACAAATACATGGTGTATGCATTGTGTATCCACGAGAAATAATTAATAATAAAATAAAATAAAAAAATATTTGAATTAATGAGTGTAAATAAATGTTAATTTAAGGAAAAATTGTAATTTTCAATTAAATTCTCCTTTGTATTATACAAAATAATGATAATTCAGTGATAATCATTCAATTCAATTCATAAAAGTATGCAATTTTTCATCGATGTTTCTTTATGACGTTGTATCACGTAAAACTACTATCGTCTGTAAACCGACTTTCAGACAACCAATTTTTTTTTTGTTACTTAATTAAAATCAACAACAATTGTTCAAAATTAAAACCAATGGTCTATTTTGTAGACATTGTCATACCGAATATAAAACATTTCGGTTCTTTTGTTTCACATAAGCCGTTGCCGAGAAATCGTGTAGGACCGACCTGCATCCAAATTATGGCGTTCTATTTAAGTATGAATTTTTTGTAAAAAAAAACTTAAAAAAATTTTAATTTTTTAAATTTAAGACTTCATTTATCATGCCGAATTAGTTTTATTAACATATACTTTTATAGCAAGCTCACGAGAAATTCCCAAAAATCGCTAATTTTTTTAGCCGACAAACTAGACTACACCCTTAAGTTAATGCATGGCCCTCTATGGGACAATAATTCCAAAGTAGAGAAACGTGAGAGTAGCCTCAAAAGAGTAGCCTCACATTGTAGCAAATAAACAAAAGTTTTGAATTTCATTTTTCTATTTTTTTTTTTATATTGTACGTACACGACTTGTGAAATTTATCGGTGAGAGAACGTTAATTAAATATTATAAAAACGTAAAATAAGGGATTAAAAAATTTATTAAATTATAATATAGTCATTAACTTTCAAGGTTACATCTAGACAATAATTATTTTCATGTCCGAAAAGGTATTTTAACATAATTTTCACTATTATCAATGGATGAAATAACTCCAAATGATGACCATGAAGAATATCAGTACCTGAATTTGGTTAAGCGAATAATAAACGAAGGATCAAAGAAAGATGATCGCACCGGTGTTGGCACGTATTCAATTTTTGGAACACAAATGCGATTTTCTTTGAAAAATGGTAACTTATCAATTTAATTAATCTGTTATTTCAACTAAACTTTGTCGTAATTTTATTATTTTTTTAAATGATTACTGCGAAAGGTGTATTTCCATTATTAACTACAAAATCAGTATTCTGGAAAGGTGTAGTTGAAGAACTTTTATGGTTCATCAGTGGATCAACGAATGCTCATAAACTGTCTGAAAAGGGTGTTCGAATTTGGGATGCAAACAGCTCAAGAGAATTTTTAGATAGTCTTGGATTTCAGAATAGGGAAGAAGGTGATTTAGGTCCAATTTATGGATTCCAATGGAGACATTTTGGAGCTCAGTATACTACTATGCACGCAGACTATACCGGGCAAGGTAATCATTTTATGCTTTTATTGTTTTTTTTTTTTAGCAGAAAAATATGATTTTCAGTTACTTGATTAAACTTGTTTGCCATGATTCACTTTGAATCACTTAACATAAACTTATCAGAAATCTTTCCTACTTTACTTGTAACTTTGATACAATAATCTTACTTACAAGTAATCGTGCTAAAAATGAATACCTTAAGCTTTCACTTGATATCGCGCCTTTTTACTTTATAGTAGCCATTAGTTGATAATATTACTTTGTTCTATACTATTATAAAATTGCAATAATCAAATATCTATTTACAGCTAATACAATTTTATATAGAATGACTTTGTTGTATAAAAATCTATAATTAATCACATTATTTTCATGAAGTTGATCTATCATTATTCTGAATCGATAATTAACATAAATTTTTTTCAGGTGTAGATCAACTTCAAAATGTGATTGATACCCTTCGTACTAACCCAAATGATCGACGAATGATCATGTCCGCATGGAATCCTGTTGATATACCGAACATGGCATTACCACCTTGTCACTGTCTCGTCCAATTCTATGTTAGTAATGGTGAACTTTCTTGTCATCTTTATCAACGCAGTGCTGACATGGGTCTTGGAGTTCCGTTTAATATTGCATCTTACTCGCTTTTGACGTACATGATAGCACACATAACTAATTTAAAGGTAAAATTAATCTGAATTACTTGTGAAATTTTTCTATATTTTGAGATTTGAATTAGTTTTATATTTTAATAATTTTTTTGCAGCCTGGGGAATTTGTTCATACAATGGGCGATTGTCACGTGTATGCAAACCACATTGATGCTTTAAAAATTCAATGTCAACGTAAGCCTAAACTATTTCCAACATTGAAAATTACAAGAGACGTTAGAGAAATCGATGATTTCAGTGCATCTGATTTCGAGTTAATTGCTTATAATCCGCATCCAAAAATAGCGATGAAAATGGCTGTTTGAAAAATCAGTTTTCATCACTTTAAATTATAGTTTATAAAAAAAATGCATTTGATTATAAATGATCATTTTTTATATACAAATAAAATAATTTTCTTACTTATAACTTGTTTCATTATGTGATAAAAAAAAAAATTAATCTAATAAAATAATACATTATATTTTTTTTTGTAATCTTTACATTAAAATCTTTTAATTCATAAAAAACAAAAATTCTGATCTAAATCTAACCAATTAGAGCCTCAAGACTGTACTTTAAAATATTTGTCAAAAAATAATTTAGCTTAACGATAAACTCTATACATTAATAAAGTTAATTAAACTTGAGCTATTGGATTATTAAAAAAAAAAAAAAGTGTAAATAGTAAAATATATTCCAATTTAACTTCAATAGATAAATATCAGTTTTTTTTATCTCTAAGTTGTTAGTTGTTATTAAGAGAAGTTATTTTTTTTTTTAATTTTGAAAAACTGGAAAAAAATAAACAATAAATGAAAAAAATAATATTTTTTTCATTTACATTTCTTATGTATTTTTTTTCTTAATGTATTTTATAAAATAGTTGATCTCAAATTAATACTAAAGGCTAAGACATTTGAACATCATTAGATTGCGAAGTTGATAATTGATGAAGTTGTTGTGTAACTGCCAGAGTTCCAGATTCACTAACAGAAATAATTACCCAAATGATATCTGCAAAAACAATATATAGTTAGTAACAGATACACTGATGAGCACAATTATTTAATAATTATTCAATAACCTCCAAAATAAGATCCAGTAACTGTCATCATTCTCCATTTACTTTGAAAAACCCCTAATTCATTTGGACTGGTTAAAGTAACTGTAAGTTCAGTAATTTCCTTTGGACCTAGTGGTGGTACCTCGATTCGTGTACAATCCCCCATAACAATACCTCCAGTGTATTGAAGAGAAATTCCTTCTGGCCATGATTCATTGCCAGCATTTTGCACTCTCCATGACTTTTGGAATTTAGTATTAGGCGATACTGACTCACCTTCACCGATTGTACAGTCACATACTAAAGTCATACTAGGAAGTTTAAAAGGTGACTCAAAATCAAAATAACTGCAAATTGCCGCTTGTAAATTCCTAAAACATATTTAGAACGGTATATATTGATATTTTGTTTATTATTTAAATTTATTTTCATAATCTCAAATAACTATAAAATTTATTTTAAATTGTATTTATACCAATAGAATAATTAACAAGCGTAAAGATAATTTAAGAAAAGACATAATAAATTACCAATAATATTTACCAATTATTCATATCCAGAAAAAAAGTAGCAGTTGCTTCGTTTAATTGACTACCTGCTAACAACTTTTGAAGTTGTTTAACCAAATCATCTTTATCAGTTGTACCCATACAACTAAATTGTTGTAATAAATGTTGATCAAAATCTTTATCCAAATCCATTGTTAATTATTTAAAGGCGTTATTAATAATACTAAAATTTATTTCAAACTCTCCTTTTAGCAGCACGCCATAACACACAAAAACATGGAAAAAAAAAACAAATAAATAAATTAAATAAAAAAAAATTGCACTATCGATTAAAAAAATGTTCAAATTTATCTTTATTGTTAATATTATTATGACATGAATAATATTTTCACTTGAGTTGAATAAAAGATAACACGTAATTTTTTTTTCTCGATTTTATTTTTTATAATGGTCAGTATTTTTTAAAATACTCAACTCTTTGTTTATTATTTTGTAAGTTGATAAATGTTTACGTTATAGAATTGTTAGACTGATGATTTTAAATGTCATTTGTTACAATGTGTGTAAATAATGTACAAAAGACAGACATTAAGTATACTACTGAAATAAAAAAGACACATAATATATAATGTCATAACTCCTCTGTAAGGTTAGGTATGAGCGAGGTATAAGTGTATAGTTTGTATATATGCGGGTGACTGTTATATTTATATTTACGTGGTGCAACTAGTTATACTCAGCAGGTGACGCTACTTGTTATTAGAGCGCTAATTTTAGTGAAATATTAAAATTTTAAAAACTAAACTTGTAAGGGCCAGTTTTTCAATCCAGGATTGGAAGTTTTATCCAATGATAAAATATATCTATATATTTAATATATATAAATATACTGGCATTAATAATTTTATCTTGGATTGAAAAACTGGCCCTAGATAAAGATTATTTTATTAAAAAAAAAATAAATGTATGTTAAAATACAAAAGAACATTGTAGTTAAATTCTCAGAAATCACAAATGTGCTTGAGCGGTTCCAGGACATTTCTTGTTACACGAAACTTAAGAATCTGAGGGCCAGTTTTTTAGATGATGTTTTTTTGTAAAAATATCGGTTTTATTCTTTTTTTAATAAAAAAAAAAAAAACGTTGTTACAACAAAAAAATGATCATTTGAAAAACTAGCCCTTGGATCTCATTATTATAATACTCCATTTGTAGGGGAAGGGGGTGGCAAAGTGGGCCCCCCTAAAATTTAGGACTCAAAATTTTGGGAGCAAAATGGGCCCCCTGAAATTTTTTATAAAAACGGTGAATAATAAATCATTTATACTTTTGATAATGATTAAAAGTGGTTTTTGTCAAAAAAATTGTCATTGATTCTAAAAAGTAAGAATAAAAAATAAAAAAAATGGTTCGTCAAATTTTGCCATATTGCTTTTTCGTAAAGGGTAATAAGAAACAAAGACTAAAAGAAAAGAAATAAGTCAATAGGTTCATTCGCAGTGAAGCTACACGCTTTTTCATATTAAAAAATAGCAGATTATTGATGGAACGATTTGAGTAAATTTTTTTTAAAGTTTATAACTTCGCTCAAAGTTGACCTTTGAAAATTTTTTGGTATTTTCTTATTTTTTGTTTTTTGGAAAATACATTTGAAAACAAAAATTTTCTATATGATATGTTTCCGGAAGATCAATTTTTAAAAAAGTGATTGTTATTTAAGAATAAGAAAGTCGATTATTTTTAAATTCATTCTTTCTTGGGTTAGGTAAAAAAATTTTTTAAAATCCTAAAAACATTTTTTGGTAGTGTAGGAAAGGATAAAAATTTTTCAGCCAAATCAAAAAGAGTCGAGTTCAAAAGCAATCGACTTGACAAATAAAATACCCCGTATTTTCTGTAATTCTCCTAATTTTTTAAAAGAAGTAAATAATTTGTTAAAAAGACGTAATGATATATAATGAAGGAACAACAGTTTTGTTTGAAAGTAATTGTAGATAAAAATTAAAAACTACAAAAATTTAAGACGTTAATATCTCCTGAAATATTGATGTTAGCAATTTAGTGCTGAGAATCTTTTTCGTAGAAAATCAAATTTACTGCAAGTTAGTCATTCAAATGTTTTTCGTAGCTCTTCTCAGTGATGAGAAAAGGACAAAAAAACGTAAATTTTATGAAAAAATTGGATTTGGTAGTTCATACTCCCTCGCGAAAGTTTTATTCGTCTGAAAAAATTCACAACTCAAAGCTTTCAAAATGTGCGAAAAATATGTTTATGACAAGATTTTTGAAGGGGGCCCACTTTGCCCCTCATTCTAGATTTTTTTATTTTAATGGACACAGCTTATCAATGTTGAATTACAGTACAAACAAGGAGCTAAAAAGTAGTGCAAAGAGCAAAAAAAAAAAAAGTGTGTCAGCTCCGACGCACGACTGGAGTTTACTCCTTACGAACGATTATAAAATAAATAAATTAGTTAATAAGGGTAAATGAATGTATTTCTTATATTACTTAGAGTATGCATGACACATCTACAGATTGATTTTTATTCATTGAGTAATTTTCTCAATTTTGAAATAAATATCAATTGATATAAATTTATATTTATATCAATTATAAATAAAATATAAAATTTACGATAAAACCTCCGCAAGTTGACAGTTGTTGTAGGTTAATATCAGGTTAATACAATATGCAATTGAAAGTAAATATATTAATTATCGGGGATTCGGCTTATTAAACCAACCCCGGGGTAAAACAAACGAATAGCAGCTAACTGGATCTGAAGTTTTCAAGATTTAAAAATTTAATTTGAGGTCCAATCAAATGATTTTGTATTCACTGCCTCGGGGTAGGTTTTGTAAGCCGAACACGACAAATGACTATTTAAATCGGAATTTTTAATTATTTGATAATTTTTAATCGGCTAATTTTACGTAATGCTAGGCTAAGTATCAGCTAAAATTGCTTTTCTAGAGTCTAAAACGGCAACATTTACGATTTTCAATTTTACAGAAATTCAATATTTAAAATAATATTATTTGAGAGATGACAATCTTTTCAAATTTCAATATTTTTTTTCGTTTATTTGTTACTTTGAATTATTCTTTAGAATCATTTTCATAAATTAGCTTATATCAGATTGGCATTATTTTATTAATGCAGCATTTTATTTGAATTATTTATTTTTAAGTGACTGTTTTTTTAGATGTTCTTTTTCGAAAATTCGCGGATTTTTTCTTTGTCATTTTTTACTTTACGCTCAACTTACACTTGGCGTTATATTCTTTTTCCCCACATTAGCAGTCTTTTTTTTAGGTTTAGTAAATTTGACAAAGGGCATAATTTTAGATTTTCAACATTGAGACTTTAGAAACGGCCGAATTTACAATTTTCAATTCAACTATAAACTGGAATACCTATTTGAATTAATGCGCGCAGCTGTATATATTATATACTTATATATTTTATATAGTAATAAGTTATTACTAACAAGTTATTAGTAATAACTAATAACATATATAGGGTAGAAGTACCGTTTGTGGCCACTGTACCGTTTGTGGCCACTGTACCGTTT